CCTGATATTTCCGTTAAGGTTTAATGGTTCATTTACACCTTAATTTTACATGCGTGTTAAAAATTGCAAACCTTGAATAGTTGGAGCATTTTCCAGTTTTGCGCTCTTTCACGTTCCCTACTTGTGTTTGACATTATCAGTTTCGTAAGATTACATTGATACATATTGTGTAGCTATTTGGGAGCGGAAATTTTCAAATATTAGTGTAGCTCTCTCTGATTGTTCGTGCCATCTCAAATTGTCGACCTCAGATTCACTCATCCACATCCCTAATCAGCTATAATGGAAATTCACTTCTCTTGGCTTTTTTATTACCTTAAAGCATTATATTATTAGTAAAACACTAACCTTCCTAGGTGGTCCGCAGAAGTCGTCGCTATCTCCCCCACTTGGCCCGTTTCTGCCTCATCTCTACCTTCATTGAGGATGGGTTACGGCTGTTGACGCAGTGGTCAGAGCAAATTGACTTCATTCGCCATGTCTGGGGCGTGGGTAGCTTCCTCGCTGGTCTATTCATCCTTCTAAATATCCTCCTTCAATTTACCGGTTCCGCGTTTGTCATGGTACGCTACAGAGTCAGAGTCGGCTGCGGTATCCTTCTTGCCACCGTGATCATTCAGACGATCGGCTACAACATTTGGACGCGGATCTTCCTTATGCGGAACCTCTCACTAATTGGCAGTTTACTACTTCTGATAGCTGAGGCAAGTCAGGAGTCGAAGAGTCTTTTGGCGGGCCTTCCCTCAGTCGGAAACGAAAATCGATCGCGTCAGTACCTCCAGCTAGGTGGACGTCTTCTTGTGGTTCTGATGTTTCTCACCCTTGTCCATTGGGGTGGCAGTTTTTTCTATCTCATTCAGGTAGTGTTATTTTTCTACCCTTTCAATTTGATCAATCAAAACTCAGGAACATTTTATTTTCCTGTTTTTAGTCCATACTTAATCTGATTCTTATTCTCCTGGTTGCCATTGGATACAAAACTAAGCTCTGTGCTCTCATTCTTGTCTCTTGGTTGACATGCATGAACTTCTACTACAACGACTTCTGGTCCAACTACTCCGACGAAATCATGTGGGACTTTCTGAAGTATGATTTCTTCCAGACCTGGTCCGTGATAGGAGGTCTCATGTTGATTGTGGCTCATGGGCCCGGTGGAGTGTCAGTCGATGACTACAAGAAAGAATGGTAGGGTAGGAGAATTCCTTTAACCTATCGCTCCCTCCTTTGATCTTTTGTATGAGTGGATGAGCGCGTGTTTGGTGGTCAGTGAATGTTTCCACCCTTGTGCTTCTCCGCTTCACTCCCTTTTCCCATCTCCCATGTGCGCAAACTCAACGACCTCTTTTGCCTTTCCTCTAAAAAGTATTTTATTTAGTTCCTAACGCATTCACAAGTCCCCTTGTGAAATATCCATTTTCGTGTGTCTATGTTCGCTTGACCCCTGCCTTGTAGAGACGTTAATCATAACTTGCATTACAATCGTATGGC